CAGACTGACATTACAGGTTAAAAAAAATGCTTTACATACAATACTCATCATATGACCTAAATTCTAGAAGACATTCATGCCTAGTAATCAATAGGTAAAATATACAATAGTTCATACAGAACAATTTCCAGTGGGAATAGGAAGAGTGGCAGGCTCCCCAATGAGATGTGGAACTCAATTCTTCCTTCAGAGTAACATGATTCAAGACTGACAGCCCAAGTGAATAAGAGCAGCAAAGTCAATTCATGTATTAAAATTACTCATAAAGTTTAATTTGTCTGATTTTAAAGATAAACACAAATATAAAAGCACTCATATTTTCTTCCTGCAATTCAAAGTAGCATTATATGCATACCACACCTCGATACAGTAGTCCTCACAAAGTAACTCCAGGATCCTGGGGGTTGTGGGGAGTGGTGTGGGGAAGAGGGTGTCTGAGTTCCTTTCAGTGGTCTGTGAGGTAAAAACTGTTTTCATATCAATACTAAGACATTTCTTGCCCTTTTCATTCATTTTCTCACAAGTATACAGCAGTTTTCCAGAGGCTACCTGATGCAAGAGACTGAATGAAAAAGTATATACAAGAATTCAAGTTTTATTAAACGTAAGTTTAAATGAGATTTGCGAAAATATAAAACCATGTCACTCTTCTAATTTTTTTTGTTTTGGAAATGTTATTTTTCATTAGAAATGTTATTTATGTTAACATGCAATAGGTACATTATCTTTAATAAATGTGTTTCTCAGCTTAAATTTCTGATATGGTAAATATCAAGATATAACCCATAGATACAAAAGCTCTCGGTGGTCCTTAACTTTTAAGAGTTTAAAGGAGCCAAACTCCAAAGTTTGAGAACAGCTGTCCTAGAGAAACTCTTCCACAAAGAGACATGATTAAGAAAGTTCACTGCAGTGTTTGTCAGTAACAAATGAGAAACAAATGTTCATCAACTGGGGAACCAGATAAATAAAATACGGTCTATTCAAATAATAGCATATTACACAGCAGTCAGAAAGAACTAAATCTTAATATACAGTATTAATAATGTTTAAGCAAAAACGCATTGCGGAATATGTACAATATACTACTCATGTATACCAAAATATAGAATATTATACTGTTTAAGGACCACAGAGATTGATATTATACTAAATTCATTACTTGATTGCTTCTGACTGGGGGGGATAGAGGGGATGGGAGGAAAGAAGGACTTTATAATACTTTATTTTAAAATTAAAAACACATAGATAACAACTGTCAATTCTTGTTATATTCTCTGCACTTTTTTTGTACTTTAAACATCTTAAAATCAGATGTTGCCAAAAAAAAAAAAAAAAGTGAGGGAGAGGGAAGAGCTCTTCTTTTGGATTTAGCGAAGACTGATTAAAGGCTAAAAATGCAATCTACAGATTTAAAAAATCCTATCTATAACCTTTATCCATTCAACAAACTTATGAACTACCAAAACCTTCATATTAAGGAGTGTATATAAACACAGTAGAACACAATTAAGTATCACTGATTTTTTTACTCATCTTTCCATCTTTTACAACACTTAACACAGTGTCTTGTCATAAAAGTCCTGTCAAAATGCCTTTAATAACCTTGGCTTTTTTTAATCTTCCTTCCTCTCTTATCACAGATATACTGACCTTTTTTTACCTGTGCCTCAGATCTGTCCCCTTCCTCTCATCCACAATTTTACTCTAAGTTAACCAATCCCTCTAGCTGCTTTAAACTATGCTTTTTTTTTTTTTTTGCACACTCCCTCCCTCAACATGCTTTAACTTCTATGCCCATCTAATAGAGACCAGGGCTTGAACACCACTTACTTAGGTTAAGACTTTATGTATACACACTATATAAACATACCAAAGGGCTAGCACCAGTGCCTACTACACTGTTAATTATTCTTCCTTCCCTTCATCCTTGAAGGAACTTTTCCCTGGGAATACCTCACAACCAAACTTCTAAAACAACAACAACAAAAACAAACAAAAACCCCAACTACTTTACATTTGCTACCTCTTATTTCCTTATCTCTCCTATCACCATTCAACTTTAAACTACAGATTCCATTACCCTCAAAGAATTTTGTGGCCTTTTTCTTACTTAAGTCATAACCTGTGACCACTCCCCTGGTATTATATAAAATATTATCTTCAGGCAGCAATTAAGAGGGGACCATCTGTATTCAAATCTCAGCTCTGCCATTAACTAGTAGTATGCCCTTGAGAGAATTATTATTCAACTTCTTTGAAAATCTGTTTTCTCACCTAAAAATGGATGTCTACGCAAGGTTGTAGGAGTATTAACTTAGATATGTATATATAAAGTGACTGACATGCTATATAGATGCTTATTAAATATTAATTCCTTTGTCTCCCCCTCTCAATTTTCTCTAGGGCACATCTGAGAGTGACTCCCTGATGTCTCCCTCTAACTCTTGCTTCCAAGTTTGAGTCCTACATGACCAACTGCTTGCCAAAAATTTCTACATGACTGTTCCACTCAAACTCAAGCTGTTCAAAATCGAGCATATTTTCCCATCCACTAAATATACTTTTGATGACTGTCTGTCATGTTAACAGCATCCCCCCCTCCCAGCACTCAGAATGTGGGGCAAAAGGTGCTTCTAAACCTACCAGATGTCAAGTCCATGGATTCTTCTGGTCCACATCCTTCCCCTCCTCTCTACTCCCTCTACAGACATGCCAAGTTCAGATTCTACTTGCTTCTCCTACCTCAGTCCCCAACCCACCAAATTTCTCCAGACCTCTGCCTTCTCCAATATATACTACAAATCAAGCAGTATTTTGATTATCACTCCACTACTTAAAACCTTCAATTTATCCACGACCTGGAGAAAAAAAAAAGGAATTCAAACACATTAGAAATGTAAAACTTGTCAGACCCAAAATTATTGATACCTTAATGATTCTTACTTTCCAGTAGTCTCAGGAGTCAAACTACTGTTCCTTATTTCTCACCACTGTAGCCTCTGAATTACTTTTCCAACACCTTCGGAAATCCTGAGACTGACACTTTCTCCTCCGCCGGAGTCTAATCCCCCACGGCCATCCCACAGTACTCTACAAGGGCCCCAAAGGAAGCCACTCTATCCCATATTAAAGCTACTTGCCTAAGTTTTGTGTCCTCTATTAGTTTAGGCTCCTATGGGACAGAGGTCCTCAGTAGTAGTGCCATCGTATTAAGGACACAGCTTTACAGCTAAGCAGGTTCTCAAAAGTTTGCAAAATGAAGATTTGGGAGATTTGAAGTTACAGATTTGAACTAATCAATAACATTTCATGAATGGGGGGAATTAACTGAGAAGCACTACTATCAGGCAGGCACAAGGAGATGGATTTTAAAGTCAGACCATTTTCTCCAGAAAAAAGTGTTTTGGGAAGAAAGTCTGGCAGAAGAGAGTTGGAATTGGTAACATACACCTAACATAATGCAATTTGCAGTGATAAAGACTAGGAATGGAAATAGAAATTATTTAAAGAGGAAAATGACCAATGATAAGAAAATTCTCATTTTGTACATTTAAAAAGGTTAAAATACCATTTTCCTTTTTCAAGGAGTATCATTCCTAATTTTGGTTTTCAAAGTAAAAACTACTGATGACATTTTTCCAGAATTAACATAAGACATTTCGCTTAATAATGTGCTTAATGTGAACTTCCATAATGTCTCAATCAGAATTAAATACTTCTGATCTTAAGAATACACTAAAAACCCTCCTCTTTGTTCGTTAAAACCATTCAAAAAGTTTTTATCGTGAGAAAGAAATGTACTTATCTTCTAAAAAATTGTACCATTTGTATAAATTCTCATTCATTCAACAAGCATTTGCCAACCATGTGCTATGCTGGGGGGGAGAAAGCAAAGAACAGAAACTCCCTGCCCTCATGAAGCCAACATTCCAGTGTATTTTGCCTTAAGGAAACAAAGTCAACTTCCAACCCTGAAATCTTTGGGGCATTATCACAAATTCTCTAGCCATCAAAAATCAGGAAATACTATTTCATCATTTTGAAAATAATCAATACTGAACTTTACAAGACACTGTCCAACTTCTGCAGTTAAGACATGTTATGTATCCATCAGCTGAAGACAAATCATTTCTAGGATAACTGATAAAGCAATAAACGGTGCTAACTGCAGTGTTAGTGGAGGGTACGATACTATAGCACTGCAAAGTGAAAGTTACTGCACCCTAATTCTGTCACAAGTGAAACTACAAAAATCTCACTGTGAGATGCAGCAAGTTTTTAACGCTGTCCCAAGACATCTAGCACCACACTACTACATCTGACTTCTTCAGTGCTGGGTTTATCTTTAGTATTTGGAAAAGGAAGATAATCCAACTCAACACATGACAATTGTTTCCATTCTGTAACTACATTTTAAATCATCAATGGTCAAGACCTCTCCCCTCAAATCGATTCTGAAAAACAGAAATGTGTGTACTCTACGCTTCAAAAACAGCACCTGGAATGTTTGGAGATACAACTAGAGAGCTTTAGGGCGGCAGGCAGCTTTGTTCCCGGTTTTGGGAGGTTTTCACATGTAAATGTTCCCAAAGAAGGGAGCCGAGGATTAACTACCGCGAGAAGGGTGCGAGGGTGGGGGACTGGAGGCCAAAGCCGGCATTCTAGCGGTCTAAGGCGGAGCGAATACTCCTCCCTCCCATTCAACTTTTTAGGTGTCACGTTGGGGCCACAGAGCCCATAAGAGGGTTGGGTTCACGACTCGGTAAGATAAGGAGCCCCGTTTATTAAGCCCATTTCCCAAGTGTAGGAATCCCGGGGGAGAGGGATAACACCCTCTCCAACTCCTCCCCGACCCGGGATCAGAGTCCAGCCGCTGTCGCGCCGCGGCCCGAGCAACAGGAGAGCCGAGGCCGCCGCTCCGCCAGCCCTGCGACCAGCAGATGCTACGGCTCCCCCCGCCCCCTACGCCCGCCCGCGCTTCTTTCTTAGCCCCTTACGGGCTCCCGGTACCGCGAAGCCAATACGGGGCTGGGGGCAGAGAGCGAGAGCACCCGGACCTGAAAGGGGGCGAAGTTAGAGGCGCCGACGCGGGCTGGAGGAGGCCGGAAGGGGGCGAGAGGGGCAGCCCGAGGTCGCCGCCCGGGAGTGGGAGGTGGGGGAGGGGTGTGGGGTCGGCTCCCGCGGCCGCCGCGACCTCCCCGGGCCACAGGCCGCTCCGCGCAGGCCCCGCCGCCCCGGAACCGGGGCAGGAAGCGTCCCCACCCCGACCTAAGCTTTAAACCTCCGGCGGCAGGAGAAACGACGCCCCGACTCCCCGGCAGGCCCGGCACCCTCCTGTTCCAAGCACCCCTTACCTCTTGGTTGAAGGCGTTGACGGCGTCCATGTTCGCGCTGCGGCGGCGGCTGCTCCGGGCCCGCCGGTCACATAGACCTCGCGCCGCGGCGGAGCGGGGCCGGGGAACCGGCCGGGCCTGAGGGGCGGGCGGAGGCGATGAGCTGCGGAGCTGGAGGCCGGGCAGGAAGAGGCTGCGGCCGAGGCGGCGGGGCGGGCGGCCGAGGCACAGGCAGAGGCGGCGGGGTGGCGGGCCCCCTCTCAGTCCCGTTCGGAGGATGAGGAAAAAGAGGCGGCGGCGGCCCTGGGCTCCAACATGTCCGTTTGGCGGTGGCGTCTGCGTCTCGCTGACACGGCCCCCCGCGCCCTCACGCACTAGCCCACACTGGCCCGACCGGCAAGCGGGCGGGCCTCTCTCTCCACCTCGCCAGCGGGATGGCGGCAGCTGCCCGAGTCCACGCCGCGCGGGGCACGCTGGGACGGCTCGGGCCTCCCAGCTCTTCCTGTGCCCGG